GCCCGCCCGCTCCGCCGCCATCACTCACCATGGTGCCGAGGCGCGGCCGCGGGCCTGCAAGAGACGAGAGCGCGTGAGCGCGGCGCGGCCCCGCCCGCCCCAGCGCCGCACTGCAGAGTCATCCCCGGGCAGGCCCGGGCCCAGCCGCGCCGCCAGGAGGCGCCGGCCGCGCCGCTCCCGCCCCGCCGCCCGCCATCCCCGTTACCGCTGCTGTCCTCCCTCCCTCACCCCCGCACTCACGGCGGGCCGGGGCCGGGCGGCGAGGGCGGCGCGGCTGGGGTGGCGCGGAAGAGCCGAGCGGCGCGGCCGCTCCCGAACCCTCGCCGCCGCGCCGGAAATGGCCGCCGCGCCTGCGCAGTGCCAACGGCCGCCGCCAACGGCCGCCGCGGCGCAGGGGCGGGGCCGCCCCAGCGGCTGCCTCTGGGGGTGGCGGGCCGCGACGCCGCCATGGCGGAACGTGCTGCGTCACCGCGGCCCTGCAGCCGCGCACTGAAGCGGCTCGCAGCACGTAAACACAAGCGTGGTGTTTAATGGAGGGTACACAGGGAGGCGTTAGCGGCGGCAGCCCCGCTACTCCGCAGCCCCGCTACTCCGCAGCCCCGCAGTCCCCATAGGCTTGCGCAGTCTCAAACCACAGCTGCTCCACGGCCTCCTGGCCCACCTCGAACATTTTCATCAMGTGTTTCCATCCACTCTTGGCCGTRATCATGAGGTATTCCCTGTTCTCTGGGTACAGCAGGGCCGTGTGTGCCGCGATGACCAGTGACTGGGAGAAGCGCCCGCTCACCAGGAGGAAGAGAGCAGCTCTCTCCTCCATGGTCAGGGGCAGGACGCTCTCGAACCCTGCCAGCACGTGCCCCCCGACACGCAGGGGATCCGCGCTCTCAACCATCATGTACATGATAGTTATCGCCACCTCAAACACGTAGTACCCATAACTCATGTCACTGAAATCCAGGATGCCAGACACTCTGTACTGAGGAGCCTCCRGGGAAGCAGAGCCGGAGTCTACTAGAATGTTGTGGTCATTAAGGTCTCCATGATTGATACCTAAATGCAGAAGAAACCAAGATGGTAGTGGACAATAAGAACAGCAAAATCTAACTTTTAATCTATCTGTCTATATATTTTTTTTCATTTCTCAGTGAAATAGCATTAAAATTTGAGCATAAACGCTCATATTAACAGTGGACTACAAAACCATACCAGTCTCCCCCAGCATCAAGCATGGCAGGGTTGCTGTAACTACTCCTGTCTTTCATGGCCATACTGCTTCCTAGGAAGCTCAATTCCATCAACACTAACAGGCGATGGGGTGGATAAACTTAATGCCAAGAGATCTTATTTTGCTCTAAGGGAACCTACAATGCACTGCATTTTTTCAAAATCCAGAACAGCAGAGCCTTTCATCGTCAAATCATTGCCAACCTTTAATGCAAGTTGTATTCAAAAACTATGATTTGTTATTTTGGGCCTTCATGAAGACGGTGCTCCATATATTCTTATTTACCTGATATAACAACATGAAAATTATCAACTTAATTGTAAGCAATCTCAGCAGAAGGATCAAGAACTGAACATGGCTCCACCAGTCCTTGACAGGGCATTTTTTTTCTGGCATGTTCTGCCCTGCGCTAATTCAGCGCAGTATGTGCTATAGATAAAGGAAACAATTTTTGCATACAGTGCTTCTCCCACAGACACAAACCCCTGAAAAATAAATCAGAGTCTCAGTTCAGCGTAATTTTAATAAGAATAAAGTACTCACAGGCTCGAAAACTGGTCAGCTTTGGTATTACTTTCTCTTTAAATTGCTGAATAACTTGCTCCACAACTTCACGGTATTTGTTCTGGCCTAAGGCATAAATATACTGGTCTAGAAGAGGGACATTTGCCAGGTTCCAGATGAATTGCCCTCGATGCAGACTTTTTACTGATGGATGGTGGAATTTCTTCAGAAAAAAAAATAGAGAAAATTGGCCATAAATAAAATGCCACAGTCCTGTGATTAAAGAATTTGATTTGAAACCCTCATTAACAAGTTCCTGATGAAAAGCTGTATGACTTCCACTTATTTTCTGTCAACATAGTAAGAAAGCTGATTAAAGTGCCTACCTTCATATCTACACCCATATTCATAGCTTAAATCATTTCCAATCAGTAGTAACCCACAACATTTCTGTCAGGAGCTGTGCATGTAGCAGCCCTGAGGGCTCGGCAGTGCGAGCGGCACCCTCGGCAGCGCCGGGATTGCGCTGCTGGCGCTGCTGAGAGCTCCCGATGCGCCGGTGTGCCTGTCRCAAACACCCTCTTGGCATTTCCAATTGGCAGCTTCTGGGGTCGAGCTGTGGAATCCGCTGGCTCATTGAAAATGCTGAGGATAGAAGTACTTTGGAGACATATGGGACAAAAGTTTTATTATCATAAGAAGTTACTACAGGATTTCAAATGTCCAGGCAGCACACACAGACCCCCACACAGTAAGCTACGTGCATCTAGTTTTGCTTGTCTGGAAAGTAAATAGACTCAAATCAGCTCCATTGGTTTTGCTTTTGTACATTCACGCAGCCTAAATAGCTGGAACAAGCAAGGCTCTAAACAAAAAATACAGGTTTTAAACTGCTGCGGAGAGCACCACCTAGTTAGGAAGAAATCGCTCCAGTGAGCAACCATTGCAGTATTCCCTTTGGACCCTGGCAAAATGAGATATTCCAGCAAGATATTAATGGGAYACTGCATGTGTCAGGTAATAAAAAGTCAGATTTCAACATTCTCACAAACCCTTGTCCCCATAAGGCTGCAAACATTAACTTGTTTCCAATTAGAAGATGAGACCTGCTCAAGCAAAAGGAGAGGTGAAGCAGCAGGGCAGCTGCAGCGCCTGTTTTGTGTGCAGAAAGCCTGGCACTRGTATGTGGTGGGGAAGAAAGCAGCTCTAGGTTTGGATCACTCATTTGTAGTTCTCCTAGGTATCATTTTTTGTAATATTTTACAATTTTAGCAATAACAACAGTATGTTAATTTCTTTAAAATGACAAGCCGTGGCTGTTGAAGTATCATGAGTTAAGGGCATAGAGAATCCTTCCCATCAAAATTTGCTCCCTCATCTAATACTTTCTCTGTGGCAGGCCAAATCGCAGGCATGCTAGCTGCTCTGTATAAATCGTTTCAATCGCATTATAAGAGCATGACCACAGTGGTTGGAAAGCAGCAGTAAATTATCTTTCGCAATTGAAAAAATGCTCTTATAATTTAAGAATGTGGTTTGCAAAGCTGGCAATTCACATTTCATAATTGTCTGAAGCTGGTAGCCAGAACATGAGCAAGAAAGGTTAATGAAAGGCAATAAATAATGCAAGAGTACTTTTATGCATCAAACTTAATTACTGGCTGATTTATCAGCTCTATAACCCCACCTAATTACAGCATAAAGGAAGAACTTACTTTGCATTAAAATTACTTGACTGGAAACAGTGTCACAAGTCTCTGTTCATCAGTACAGCTGGCCTGATAGAAAGGGAACCAACTGCTACCGCTGCTAAATGGCCGCAGTTCTGATAAGCAGGAGAAAGGGAGCAAGTCAAAAGGAATTCAAAATGACCCATCAGCCAGTTGCGCCTGCCTGACCTGTGCGTTATGCAGCTGTGCTTTACATGTTTCTGTGCAAAGAAGCTTTACAWCTGATTAGGTTGGCCTAAGATTTACTCTCCATATGCACCAGGCTTGAAACATGAGTTTTGCTTGCTTATAAAAAAAGTCCTTTTCTCCCCCTTCTTGGTAGAACATTGTATTGCAGAAAGATTTCAGAGACCATGCCATAAGCACCAATTGGTCATGCTACCTGAGGAAAAGCTTTAATAACAAACAGCTTTCACAGTTACGGCATGGAGCTTGTCACTTGGAAAGCGAGTTGAACTCTGACATCTCGATTCACCAACTTGAATTTGCAGCTCAGACAGCAAGCCCAGGTAGAAATAATATGTGGGARGTTACCCGAGGATGGGCTTTGGGAGGCAAGAGCAACTCACCTCAGAGAGAGCTTTATCCAAACTGGCAGCTAGCTTGCCAATGTCATACAAAATCTGCGTATTTGCAGCGATTTTTGCCACAGGAACCCCCGGCAGGTACGTCAGCAGTCTGACCATGTACTTTTTGTCCCCAGAACCTAAAAAGCAGACAGAGAGACAGTCACTTCAACACGTGCTACTGGGTATTAGCTAATGCAAGATGCGGAAAAGGTTTTTACTGGTGCAGAAAGAAAAAAGAAGTCCCAGGTAGCTGAAAAAACAGGTTTCGTACAGAGACTTGTTTTACCAGCGGTGCACAAGCACATGCACATCTTAATGTTGGTGCAGATTCGGGCAGGCTCCGAGCCCTTACGCTGTGGGGGGGGCTCTGCACACACAAGGTGTCACCCAGGGCCCGCCGAGCACGTACACGGYGGGCAGCAGAGCCTCAGGGATCCCAGCTTTCGTACGAGACTTAKAGTGAACATTACAGCACACCGTTAACACAGCTTTTATTTTAAGCACTATTAAACCAATTTATTCTGGCATCATTCATAGGCTAGAACTGTACACCATTCCATAGTCATAGAATTTGTAACACGATTTCGTCACTGAGCTTTTTCCCTTGTGTGTGGCCTGGKCCAGGTCAATCCTCGCTTCCTCAGATTCATTATACTGAAGTTATTTTCTAAGTATTGTCATAATTAATGCTTACTCTTTCCAACTTGTTTGGCTTTTGGTATTTTAACTTTGGATTGCTATTGCTAGACGTATAGGTCATGTGATATAAATACCTCAAAAGATGAAAATAAATGCAGGGTTTTTACTTCGGATAYTCACATTTTGAATCCAGTTTTGGAGATTCTTCCTATGCAATTTTGMTACAACAAAAACAAGTCTAGTCAATAAATTCCTAAACTAAAATAGCTAGTAATGAATAAACCAAGAAAACCAGTCAACAGAAATTAACTGGAAAAACAGCCAAAATAAAAAACCTTGACCTTTTGGCCATTTCCACCCCCCTATCAGCTACAGCCCAGTCTCTGCTAGAAACTGCCAGGAATAGGAATTGCACCAGACTTCAAGGCCGACCTAAAGATGCTTAGAGCAGTGCTCAGATCTCAGCAGCTCTTGTGCCGATCAAGGCTGCCCGGTGTCTCTTGGGCTTTTCTTATATTCCTGATAATTTTTCCCTCAAGAGGAAGCACARCCCTGGTGCTCTCAGCAGCATCTCTCCGCACTCCAAAGTGGCTGCCTCCTCAGGGAAGCTCTACTTTAAAAGCTGAAAGGGGATGTGTGTCAGGGTCTATACTTAGACTCGAGAAAGTCCCAAGCTGCTGCTGCCAGGATTAGAGAACCTTGTGTGAGGAAGCCGAACACGAAGAGGCCGTTAGGAGCCTCCTGCTCAGGTGCAACCTGCCCTCGCTCACACAAGTAGTGCTGGTTGCCGCAGTTAAGCCGGGTTTACACTGGTGCCACACGGCAGAACGCAGCTGATCCGAGCGCCGCCCCGCAACGCGGCGGACGTGCCATGCTGGGGCGAGAGCGGCGGCGCTCACCTGCGGGCACCAGCGACATGATGCCGTCCTCCTTGGTCAGGCAGGGTGTCGGTGACGGGAAGCCCTCCGCGCTGAGAAACATCATRGCCCGCGTCTGCGCCTCGACCAGCTCCGGCTCCCGGCTGTCCGCCCAGTTGGTGATTTTGAGGACGTACTCGGGGGCGCCCTCAGGCCCCGCCGCGTCCCCCGAGACGCGCACGTGGAAGTTCTGGTCGTCATAGCTGGGGAGAGGCCGGATCCAGGACACCTTGAGCCCAAACAYGTTGTCAACCAGCTCGCACGCTTCCTTCTCACCAAACGCCGGCTTGGTGAGCGCCTGGCAGGCATTTCCACAGGACATCGCGTCTCTAGGAGAAAAAACAGGCTGGAAGGTCTCTGGGATCTGGCACGAGAGGCAGCAAAGCGCATTCAGACACGAGAGGGACGTTTACCGCATCTCGTACACAGGGCAGCACAATTAAGGCAACCCAGATTTCACATCCCCAGAGAGATGCGCTCGCCCCTTCAGTGTAACAACTAGCACCATTTTACCAGCTAAGAGTAAACAGTAGCACAGCCCGACACATGGGCAACCAGGAGGGACCTCCCAAGGATGAGACTTACCAAATTCACAGCCAAAACCCTCCAGACTGAAATCTGCAAAAGAAAAAAAAAACCAGAACTATTTCAGTGGGCACTGCACATTAAAACAGGCCTGATCTTCCTTCCTAACTCCTGCATTATGAAACGCTCGGCAAACCTAAACAGCCGTGTCGTCCCTCGCCGCGTCCTGCGCCAGCTCTGGGGCCGCCCGCCCTGGCGCCGCAAACCTTGGACCCTCGGCCGGCAGCGCCGACCTTCGTCCCACCGGGAGCCGGAGCCGTGGCCGCCTCCGGAGGGGCTTCTGCTCCCCCCGGCCGGCAAGGGCCGCGCTGAGGCCCGCGAGGCGCCTGCGCCGCCGCTTCCCGGGCCGCCACAGGGAGCTGCCGGCGGCCATGGGCCCCACGGCGGCCGCGAGCCCCGCGACGGCCAGGCCCGACCCTGGCTGACACCATACGGGAGGGAAGGGGTTTGATCCTAGAGCTACCGGGTCCCCTYGCGGCCTGCGCGCGCCTGGCTCACAGCCAGGGATCGGAACGTGCGCGCGGAGACGGGGTCTCCTTAAAGCATCTCCCCCGAGTGACAGGTTGAGCGCTAACAAAGGCGCCGTTTTGGTCTGTTTTCTAGGCCAGGAAACACGTGTCCCCCCGATGAGAGCAGGAAGAATGCTTTAAATAGTGCTCCACCGATGTCCGTAGAGAAATAAAATTTACATCTGATTATTGAAACAAAATCCTTTTTTCAGTATGCAAGCCAAAAAACACTGGAGATTTTTTTTTTGATTGAAAAACCTTTTACCTATAATAAACCTGAGGCATCTCAGTGTACAACAGAGGCTGGCCACATCCTGGTCATCTGTCCTGTCCATGTGAATTTTAGACTTCATTGAGACATTCCTACAACCCTCTCTCTTCAGTTCTGTACGTCCATAGATCTCTTCTGCTAGATCACTACAAATCTCCTTTGCAATTCCTAATGGAAAAAATGACCAAGCTCCACAATACAATCTGAGAAAACAGGAAGTAGAAAAGCTTTAGTAGAAGGAAAAAAAAAAAAAAAAGTCTTAAGGTAGCCCAGCTATTAAGAATCCTCTGTCAGTCCCACTGTGTGCAGGTGTTTTGCTAAGGATATTTATTTGAAAGTATTACTTTAATCCAATAGGGAAGATATGAATGGGAATTAGTTTCTCTAAGAAAAAAAATATGAAGTTGCCTGGATTTTGTTCTCTCCATTTCAGACCAGAAGCTGTTACATAATGATTGACCAGATACTCAGAAGTACTCCTACCTGCTTGCCCCTCTCCCAGGTAAGCTTTTCCAGAATAAGAGCACCCAGGACTCACCTCAGGATACATAAAAATCAGACTACACTAATTCTAACCACAATTAAGCAAAATTATGATGTATTTCACAGGTTTATAATTTGTCCAGCCAGTTAAGCCTCGAATTTAGCTTCTAGGCAGTAGCATCAGCACCAGGGCCTCTGGACTTCCATCCTTTAGCACCCTGTGCCAGGGGACRTGTGCGTGTTTGAGGACTAGCATTGTGCTTCTGGCCTCTCCTTCTCTTGCCTCCAGGAAAGAGGAGCCTTGGATAATTAGACATCTCAGGGTTGAACAGCAGCCTAACTACACATCTGCCCAAAGCAATTTTCCTAAATGGATCAGTGGTGGATACACCCAAATCACTCCTGAAAATCTCATGATAGCTGTAAGCCCAGCACACCACAAACGTACCTTTGGTTAACAACTAGCTTTAATATATGATTTAAATTATAAATGAAAGTGTTTTTTTTTTTTTCTCTCTTCAGGAAATTAAGTTGCTCAGAAGGCATTTGCTATAATTAGTTACAATAAAATTAGTTTGTGATCCCAAGCAATAGCTGGAGGGCACAATCCCTGTTTGCACAGATGGAACTGAAGCTAGTTGAGCTAGCACAGGAAACCTCCTTCCAGACCAATTAAAACATGCTCTGAACCGAAATGTGAGACATTAAGGGGAAAGCCAAACTGCTGCCCCACTATGCCCTTCTCCTTACTTACCCTGTCCTTTTTAAAAGCATTAAAATCATGGTCCCATTTTAAGTTTATTCCACACAATCTGTTCAAATAGATAGCAGCATACAAGAACTGTGATACAATTTTCTTTATTAAAAATAATTTACAACATCAGTAACATTTTATGCACAATTGTCAGCAATTGAACTCTTAAGATATATCTATACAATACTTACTGAACTTAAAACTTACACTGTTTCGTTGGCTTTAAACAGCAGACATTGATTTGCAGTTTCTTAAATATGATTAATATACATTGTTTCATGTCCTTATACTTAAGTGTAAAATTTATAAACACCAACACTACCCCAAAGCTTTATAGCTTGGGAGGGGGTGGGTGGGGAAAAGAGGGGGTGAAAGGAGAGAAAAACATTTAGAAAAATTGGGATAGATCCTTCTCCAAATCAACCTGGAGAGAGAATTACTAGGTTAAATACATCTAACACAGAGCCACCTCTTCAGAAAGGAGCGTTTCCTCCTATGCTTTAAGATTCTGGACAGAGGTCTAATCGCACAACGGTTGTGTGATCACAACAGTCCTCCGGCTGTTCTGTACTCTGGAAGCYGCCCTCATGCTTTCTGCTCTTAAGCTGGCGGGATCCCAGCAGTGTGTTCAAAGCTACACGTCCCTGGGCACCGCTGGCCGCTCAGCCGTGGGACCCGGCAGGGCTACCTCCTTGGCAGGGCTGCCCCGTGAAAAGCAGGAAAAACAGGAGCAGGAGCAGTGCCCTCAGCACCCGCTGCCTCCAGCCATGCRGGAGGTATGGCTTTGAGCCGGGAGGTTCCCAATGCCTGGAGCAGCTTTGGGATGGAYCCGCTAAGCAGCCAGAGTGCGGCCCACGCAGCAGCTTCCAGCTCTTCCATGGATTTTAAGGCATAGGAGTGCAACAGAAAGTCACTGTGGTAATGGAAACTGTCAAGCCTCTTACCAGGGCTGACTGGCTTTAATTATGGACAATAACTTGTTGATACGTCACATCCCTTTAAATTGCACTTAATTTTGCAATACTGTTTTACCTCGGCATGGCTTGGATCACTCTGTCCTTGTGCAGCAACAGGTGGGACTGCATGAGAGGTTGGGTCTTCCACTCGGGCATGAGCAGCTACACAAGCTTTAAATGGCCAAGTAGCAGTAGTTGGATTTATCATCTGTAGGGAGCATCATGTGCCAGCACTAGGAAATCCTACTTGCTCCCCTGTAATGAACATGAATACATTTCTTATAGTTCAAGAAAATGCAAGCTGGAAAGAGGTATTAGACACTGTTAAAGTAGGAGAAAAATCTGCTCATCAATAACTCTTGAAAAAAMCAAAGGTGCACTGCAGAAGAGAAACTCAAATCAGCTGCATTCAATATTAAAAATGCACTAATTTCCTACCTCTACAAGTAGTATGAGTCACTGGAATGGTTTTTATCTTGACTAAAAGAAAAGCACAGCAAAACTAGTGAAATACAGGAACAGAATATACAGAATTTCAAACTTTAAAGATTTTTTTTCCTCGGATAAAGATTAAAGAAAAACCACAAAGATATGCCAATGAAATAAAAATTGTATGACATTTGAACTGTCCTCTCAAATTAATATTTTACAGTAATTATGTCAGTTTTAAAAAATGTGAGAAACACTCAAAGATTTGAATGGTCATTCCTCTGTTAGCCTGCAAATCAACTTAGTGTCTAGGGYAAGTTTTGAGCATATGTAGCAAAGATAATGAGTCCTCTTGAAAGTTCCAGTGTTTAAGATAACACTTATCAAGAGCAAAAGTCTTAATGCAAAAGTTCTGTCAATTTATAGCCAAGTTACTGCAGTTTTCTCCTCCAAAAGACATTAGTGTCTATGTAACTGCAAACCATATTTTCAAATGAAGCTGTTCAAGTTACATCAGCAAAGAAATAATGACCTGAAGCTAACAGTAAAAAGTCACTTGAACTTTTTGAATTAGAGCTAGAATGTTTCAAGTTGTAGAACTTTTTTTTTTTTGTGCAAAAACTGTGCATGTTCCATCAATATTACATAGATAATAGGGTTTTTTTTTTTTTCTTCCAGGTGGGTTGACAATTGAGTTTACAGCAATTGCAGTGACATAAGAACGAGATTTGTTCAGAATTCTGGTAACGGGAAAAAGTCACTTGTTGAGAGGGGCTGTAAACTACAGCATTTTGGAAAGTATCAACAGGCCATATTTAGCTATTAAACATTTTACTAGTAAAGTAGATACAGGCCATATTTAAAGCAGAGGAATTAAAACAGTTCAAATGTGTTTTTAAAGATTTTTAGAAGGTTAAAATACGAAGGGAAGTACTTCAGGTACCAATACCAGAACCAGTGCAGCAAAAGCTGTTGTSAGATAAGGGACAAACTGCACCCCTGGAAGTAAGCGCAAGCTTTTCAATCGAAGCGCGCTAGCTTGCCAAAAAAGCTGGGGATCACACTTAGTCTGCACTGAAAAAAACTTATTGCAAGTTGTTTTTTTTTAGATTCAGAAACATTGCCTGTGAAAACATCAAACTTCTAGCACACAGTATTTCATAATGTGAGCAGTGTACCCAGAGGGAATATATAATCCCATAATAAAGGTAAGAAAGTCRTGGTCTATGATACAGGACACTATGGGCTGCACATGGATCCTTTCCGTTCAGCCCACAGTTTAAAGAATAATAAATTCAAAACTGATAATCTCTTAAATTCTGGATGCCCTAAAAATCCATTAGTTTGGCCTTTAACATTCCATACCTTCTGCTACCTTTAAACCAACAAACAGCAGTACACAGATTTACAGGTGCAAAAACTAAGTGGAAACAACTTCAGAAAACCTTCTTAGATAATAATCTTCAGCACAATCAGTTTCAGATTTCGCATAGTTTATTTACAAAATGGTCTGATAAAACATCCCCCTCGATACTTACAGCTCTCTGCCACAACACACATGTTGATTTTAGCAATGTTTAATAGCACCATTAGAATATTATTTAAAATCAGGAAGGATCTTGTTGCAGTTACAATGATTCACAATCTTTTACATCCATGGACGAAGTAACTTTGAGCACACTAGGACTGTTTGCAGTTCCACAGTACAGATTCCTGGGTTCACACAAGGCATTTTCAGTATTACCAGTTATGCAAGGTACCCCCAGAGTCAGTAGCTACTATAAGAATCTTCGCGCCACAAAGTTTAGACTTCCACCAGATTTGTATAACGTTAGCTCCATATCATTTTCAAACAAGGCAAGTGCGTTGAATGCTTTTCCAGTGCTTGTCTTCAAAAGAAAAGCAAAAAAGAGACCAATTAAAAGAGCTTTACTTTCCCTTTCCTTTGCTTACAGCCAGCTAGGAGTATAACCATGAACTGCATCTCAGACAAATTCAGTCCTCTTACCCACCGCTGCAGAACAGGCCCTCTCTGGGGACAAAACCAAGGCTTATTTCACCTGCACTGTAATGCAATCTGGGTCCAGCTATTATGCATATTGTGCACTTACCAGTAGATGAAAGAAAGAACTATTTTCCTAAGAAAAGTACAAAGTATGCAGAAAGTAAACTGCTACAAATGGTTTCTTCATGAAGGATGGAAGGCTGAAGCCTCTCACACACCTGCATTCTTGTTYTCAAGAGCCCACAGGAATAGAGCTTCGATTCTATGCTAATGTAGTGTATGTGGTTGGGGGAATGGGAGGGCGTGCATGCAGAAAACAGGGAAGATTTCAGGTTGCATAAAASGTTGTGTAGTGAGAAGACCCATTAACTTTAAATGTTTATATTCTCTGGGAAGCTTCAAAACCCATGGCAACTTTCAGGCCAAACTCAACTTCCTTTCAAAGGTTATTTACATTTTTTTTTGGCATTTAACTATCCGCATGTTCACAGTTAAAAGAAATATATTGCGAAGGTACCTTAATATCCAATGTCATTCCTGGTGACAGCTCTTGAGGGAACAATATAGAAAACTGCTCTCTGCCAGTGAGACCCAGAGTAGCTGGATTTTCCCCAGGAAGAAACTGAAGTGGAGCTATGCCAATTCCAATCAACTGACTTCTGTGAACCTTCTCGTAGCTTTCAGCTAGAACAGCTTTAACACCCTGCAGAAACAAGTAATTTTTGTATGTCAGTACAGAATGTTTAAACAGAGAAAGGCAAAAGCTTCAAATACTTGGTTTTATGCTCAAAACCCTCCAATCCAAGCTCGAGATTAGAACAGGTACTTTGTGAAAGCCCAGTTAGAAAGCAGGAATCACCTTTTACAAAATAGATGAAAGCAGGTAAGCCAGAACATAACCATGCACTATGAAACTAAAGTTTAGAAAGCAAATGCAATAAGCAAGCAGAAAATCCCAGATGGAATCTAGCAGCTTCTATTATTCCCAAACTGTACAAGAATAATTGGCTGACTCAGAATGTATTTTCCAACAGCAGTGGAATCTGGATATAGTCTCCAATAGCTAGATGCTCCACACTACAGAGGATAAAGATGTATCAGTACTAAGTATTTAATTCATTTAGAGAACTGAATTCCTGTTTGAAAGTCTAAATTACATATTTTTAAAATTCATTTTTCATCCTTCCCACCATTCATTCACTTTATGAAGATTCTAGCAAAGAAACTATGGGCACATTTTCTAAAAACATGCTATTCTACTTAGAGCATGCAAAGCAGAGGACAGTTGCAAGAGTCATTTATGCCCCAAACAAAACATTTAAGTCTCTCCATGAAGGGAAAAAAAAAAAAAAAAGAACAAACTAACAAGCCCCCTCAAACCTAAAAAACTAGCAGTACCAGTAAAAAAGGTCCTTTTGCAGCCCAGTCTCTTGAGCTACCAAGTCCATACTTCTTTCCGGCTAAAATAATTACAGGGATGCCTTCTTTCTGGTACAGCTCTGCTGCTTCAAACACATCTAGCTGTGGAATAACAAAGCAAAACAGTCTGAGCAAGTTCTGAATACATGTTGCAGTTCTGGAGCAACCACAGAAGTAAATACATTTTTACCGTTTGTCCTGATGGAAAGTGGATTGTTTTAGGAGCTGGTTTTCCTAAGAATTTATTCAGAAGCTTGATATTTGCAAAGGTACCTCTTGTCATCACAGCATCATTACCTCTGCGAGCTCCGTAAGAGTTGAACTCACGAGGCGTGAGTCTACAGTAAAAAAATGTAAAGGGAACAAGCAGTTTTAAATATTGTGATTTTAAATTAATTTGACTGTTAGATAATTTTCCCAGTACCTCTCAAAACTACTAAATCCTCAGTGCATGTTGCAAGGAAGTAATTATCTGATGAATGCAATTATATTAAACTGTGAACAAAATGTGTAAATCATTGGTAGATAATCCAGCAGCAAAGCTGCAATTTTTAATTCATTTTCTGAGACTTATTTATAAAGTATTACCATTGAAATGGCACTTGCAGGAGAGCAATGGGGTGACTGCTCTAGATCAAAAGAGTTATTTAGGAAGAGAAGCACATTTATTAATCTTGTCACCTCTACCAGGATATTTATTAATTAACATTGTCCCAGAGTGATAGTTTTACTCATACCTGTCCTGGGAACAGAGGCCCATTAGCTCTTACTTCCCCAGTCCCACTACTCATTTAAACCACACACAACCCTTATAAGCAGAGCCCACAGCACAGCTCATTATTGTCATGCTGCACTGAACCTGCAGAACTGCATGGCCCTTGACAGTACAGCCCTGCACGGCAGCTCCCAAGCTGCTCACAGATGCAGCACCCAGAATTCGGCATCTCACCATGTTTGTGTCCTCAGAATTTCAGAGGAAAGAGGCACCACTGCCACCATGGGGAGCTGCTGCCAACTTCACATCTACAGAACACAGCTGTTTCAAGTGCTAAAAGTTTCTGGAACTTCTCATCTCGGACTCTGTACATCCGATTGTTCTTGAGGCCAGTAACAGTTGCTAACTTCATGTTAACAGAAAATAACTTATCTGCCTTTAAATCAGTAAGCTACTTCTGCTTTAGTAAATATTTGGCAGCAGACATTGCAGGAATATCAGAGTGAGCTCTTTAACGAGGTCTCAGTTGTTTGATGTAACCTTAGATTCCAAGGTATGTTATCACTTATACATCCCAGTAGCACTACTATTCCATTTTAACCGTGTATAATTGGCCCATGATGCAGACAGGCATTTATAAATAAAAGCAACAACTGTGACAAGCTATTATGACCCGTGAAACGACCATCTGATCTAATTAGAAGAGTTTAATGTGAGTGTTAAATGCTTACCCTTTGCTGGTCAGATATTTAGCAGCAGCACTGCTCCTTGCAATACTTCCAGCAGGAGATATGTGATCTGTGGTTACAGAATCTCCCAAATACAGCAAGACATGGGCATTCTCAATAGGCTGTGGTGGAACTGGTTCTTTGGCCTAAAAGAAAGAGAGAAAACCCAAATATTTCCTCCAGGATTCTTAGAGACCTAAAGCTGTATAATCTGTAATATATTGTATTATATCTCTAATATATTAAGGCACATTGTTAAACAAGCTCCATTCACTCTAGTGATATTCTATTATTTACAAGTCTGAGAAATATTAATGCTAAGTTATTTTTAAATAGCAATTCTCCACTGGAATAGCTTTTCCTCTGCTTACGTGTAGCGCATGTAATGTGGTGGATAGATTCAAAGTACTCACAAGTTTATCAAAAAATGAAGGACATCTGATATAAGTAGATTTTAAATCCCAGGGAAATAAAGTTGACTCAGGTGCTTCCAGTAAGTTCCACCGTTTGTTTCCTTTCTACAAAAAAAAAAAATCACAGAACAGAGAAATTGGTATATGACTTTTTCACATTCTGAAAACAGACTTCAGTTCATTCAGTTCATCTGAATTTATAAACATACAAACCGCATTATTTAAGAGTCCTATTTTAAGTGTCCATCTCATTTAAATCCTCCTTTACTTGTAAAAGAAAGTCTATTGAATTGCATTTTCTAGTTGAATGTTATAAATGTACAATGAAATTCAATCTTTATTTCAAACAAAAACCCTTTACCTCCATTCGTTCTTTCAATTCTTTAAACATAGATGATATTACACACTCTTCCTCCACCGTGTGAAGTTCTTTTCGAGTAGGCCAAATATCTCGTAAGTAGATACTTTTGCCATTAATGCCAACGCCTGAATAAAATTTTAAACATAATGGTAATTTTGAAGAAAAAATACATTAGACTTCATATATTCAAACTCTTCACAGAAGGTACCAGATGCGTCAAGCACTTCACTAGTTAAATGGATGTTTTATTTCATCTGCTAAACATTCCTAGTATGACTAGACTTTCTCTTTAAAGACACAGTTATTTAATGYCCAACAGCACATGAAGAAACCTGTTCCAGGCCTGCCCTAGATGCAGAAGACAGTCACCACTGCAAGCCAAAGAACCTCAGCCCACTTCTGAAACACGAGATGGAAAGAAATAGTTACCTAAAGGCTCGCTTTCAAAGTCTATCCGGACAGTGCCGGCTATAGCGTACGCGACTACCAGCGGCGGCGACGCGAGGTAGTTGGCGCGGACACAGTCACAGAGACGCCCTTCAAAGTTCTTGGTTCCAGATAACACTCCACAGGCAACAATATCACCCTGAAAAGCAAAAACATATATATGCATATATATATTTTTTAAAGACTAATATTTATTGGTACCTCAGACTGTGCTACTTTTTATTGACTGAAGTCAGATGTACTCTTACTGTTCCACTTCAAATATTTGCTCTCTTCAATTTAAAGGCATTCTGCTCTCTCCTACCACCTTTCCTCTTTCTCCCAGCATCTCCTATTCATTCCTGAACCACTGATGTTTTGACCTCTAGTTAGAGGGAGCTCCTCTGCACATTTCCTCTTTACATTTATCTTAGAATTAATATTTATATGCCAGAAAGATTACTACATATATTCTACACAGCAATGACTTACTATGGCTTCCCTCTGATATACAGCAGATACGTAAAACTAACATGCAAAGCTTGAAAAATTAAGCCTCTTCTGCACAGATTAATCATGTAACTGGGTAAGAATCTGCCTAAATATTTTATCTGAAGTATTCACCAGTATTGCAGCTATACCTGTTTTATTGCATTCCTGATGGCTTCTGGCAAGGGAGCAGTGTTTCCAACACAGGTTGAACAGCCATAACCAACCACCTCAAACCTACATTGAAAAAAAAAAAATTAAGTGGCACATTAAGTTAAAAACAACTTGTTGGCAAATCTTTTTGAAGATTTTTTCATTAGTAATCATTCAGAAGATTTTTTTTTTACTTTGGTAATTAGGCATTTAGGAAGTTAATTACAGGACATCTCAGTGATGCAAGTGGGAAGTTACAGGACACTGTGACTAGTTTCAAGAAGTTATTTATGGAACTGTAATAGTTTGAGACACTTTGGCTTAGGAAAAGCAAAGCAAAGGCAGTAACATTCAGAGCAGCACAGCTGGGCCCTGTTGCAGAATTATGAACACAGTCTAACTATTGTTAGTAAGAATCCAGAACTTGCTAAACACCCCATGAGGGCAGTAATGGCAAGAGACAAGTATGGATTGTCCTGAAGAATTTATATTCAGTTGCCACTTGGAAATATACAGATGTATGCAGCACGTGGAAGATTATTCAGGCACGAATAGGTCACCATGAAAACCAGAACTCAAAGGCAGTGATCCACACAATGCAAGTTGCAAGCTGGAAGCATACCTCAGTAGAAAAGCAAGATAACACAATGTCAAAATTACAAATTGGAAGTTTAGGGAACAAACCCTCACGAGCAACTACCATGTTTACCAGCCTATATAAAATCCACACATAGGGTTATTTTTTTCCTTAAACACCAAGCAAAGGAGGCAGAACTTACCCAAGTTTACTGAGGTATGGTAACACTCCACTTGAACTGAGGTAATGTGTAACCATTCCACTACCCGGCGACAAGCTGGTTCTTATGTAGGGCTTAACCACTAGGCCAGCTTCAACAGCTTTTTTGGCCAGAAGTCCTAYAAAAATAACACAGGTTGTTGTTTTTGATATCTCTTAGAAGAATATCTGTATGACGCCACCTTAGCAGACGTAAGCATCAAGTTTTACTTGTCYTCTATCTCCTTATTATTAAAACAAGTATCTGTTGAATAAAGTTACTTAACTCGTAACAAGCTAGGGCTATGCTCCCATTCTTCCCACATGAATGTCCATTTTCTTTTCCATAATAAGAGGTTTATTTCTCACTTTCTAAATGGCAAATCAGGGCAGAGTCATTTATTATACTGACACAGACCACAGCCTTAAAGGGAAGCTTGTCTGGGCCACAAGGGACCTCTAAAAAGGAGAGGAAGTTCTGAGAAAGGATTAACTGTTCTGGGAAAACTGTATGCAACCAGTGGAGGGTTACACATAAACAGTTAAGCAGACAGCAGTGGGCTTCACAATCTGGGCTTGATTTCCAAATTCTGCTGCTGATTGTCCAGGTCAAGCTCCCATCCAGAGGTCATTTAGGACCGAGTCAAAGCTAAAGTCCATGTCTCACGACAAGCGTGGCAACACATGCATTTATCTGAAATGAGTCCCAGCCAGGTTACCCTCTGAAATGCTACCAAATATAAATATTTTGGAACTATTGTCATTAATCCCATCTTACGGCACAAGCTCAAAGACTGTATGATGCCCAGGTAACTTCCTAATTTTATCTCCAGAACAGGTAACAAAATGAGGGCTAAAAACACATTCCCGGTTAACTTTCAGCCCGARTCAATACAGAGAACCTACAAGAGTGAGGTAAAGGCTATGTCAACATGGGGGCAATACTAAGACTAAGCTGGTTCTCACCAGTCACAACATACCTGCAGCAAGCATGACGGATGGATTGCAATTATTTGTACAGCTGATTACTGCAGCAATGACAACACAGCCGTGAGAGAGCTGGTATTCATTTCCTTCATACTGAACAGGCACAACGTCATTCTGCTTCTCAGCTGCAATCTGAAACCCTTTAACACCAGACTAGATGACAAAAACACATGCATGTTAGCTATTACTATGCTCTACAGAGCACAACATCACAGCAACACTCTCTCCTAAAGCACAATCCCGCTCTTCCTCCTTCATAATTGCATTGTGAAGGACTGCCAGACAGACCATGGTCAGGCCTCAATATCATTTCCTGCTACATGTAAAATAACTCCTTATCTTACGTCTGATTTTATACAGTACGTGGTCTGAACTAGCAAAACCAAGGTGCTAATAATGTTGCCAGTCCCCAGTCTTAAATGATGAAGATGCATCCTTATGTTGCAAACAATAGAAACAGGGGCTTCTGAGTGAACACTTCTCCCAACTCAGCTGATRTAAAAACCTCTGAATATTTTTTCCCCAAGCTTAACTATTTACTACTTAAATTTAAGGTTTTCCTCTCTACATGATATTTGACTTGAACTATGAGATTAAGGATTTCTGAACTTCATGCTCATGACAAATACCTACAACTTACCAACTACTACTCTGGGGACACTTGTCAAGCAAGACAAGAGCTCCCTTAGATGATCTGTTCATAAAATAATAACRAGGGCTCAGCAGGTAAGCACAGAGCAAGTTGCAGTACAGTTATTCATGCAAATCACAGGGAGTACCTTTTGCAAAGAACATTAGCGCAACAAACCTTTTCATTTAAGCAGGCTTGGAAATCACTTTTCATGTTATTAACAGCCACTCTRTCTTGGGACCTCTTGGGGCCACTGACGTATGGAATTATAGAACTTAGACTAATTTGTACTACCTACAAAAAAAAAGGAGACATACATTATGAAGCACAGCCTAACAATGTATTTAACATGCTCTTCTGAGGCAGCTGTGCCCTATTTTGTGTAAAAACTGAATGTTCCAAGACATTAAAACTAAAGGCTTACATTTTAAAGAATGCTCATTATAGAGGATTATCAATCTTACTCAAGTTTATTTTAACATTATCTACCTTTCCCACAAAACTTACCTGGTCATCTGCAAGGACTAGGAATTCAGTATCTGGTAACAGATATAAACATTTCCTTCTACCCCCACACCTTGTTTTGCASGCAGACTCTGCTTCTCAAAACCATGAGTTAAATAAAGGCAATATCAAGGCAATGAGAAGTACAATGAGATACCAAATTGTTAAAAGAATCAAATATACGCAGAAATAAGTCATTCCAAACATACCTGGGAATATTCGGGTTCTCCAGAAGAACTCTCATCATTTCTAAATAACTTCACAGCTTTAAGATATGCTTCTATGACCTCAAGCCTGGTCTTGTCAAAACCTAAATCCAACATTTTCAAATATGAGAACAGTCATATTTAAAAAAACCTCCATGCTCCATCCATCTGCACAAACTTAGAAATCAGTAGATGCAAGCATGTAAAATTATTCTTGAATATCCACAGTCCTTGTTTTTCAAGGCAAACCACTTCATGTCAAACATTCCAGAAGCTATTCAGAAATGATACATAAATTTCAGCATCTGCAATATTTCTAAACAAATAAGCAAACAAATCCTTAAGTTTCCCTCTTTTATTAAGGAGGGAAGAAAGCTGCTTCAACTCTAGCATAATTAGTCAACTTCAAGGATTATTCTGCCAAAGTTTTTCCTCTAAGATTTACTCAGCTACTAGTACTGATTATGTTTAGTTGACAATAGTCAGCACTACTGACTACTGTCAGAAAGTCTATTTTGCTTGGTCTGCACTCAACAGACAAAGCATGTTTGTTACCAAAAGTGTTTAACTTGCATTTAAAATAACAGACTTTAGCTCCAGACAGGCTTACTAATACAAATGGACTGTTGGCCTTTTGTTTTTCACCTTGTAGTTTTCTCCATTGTTCTAGTCTGATGAGAATGGATATCTTGCTACTTTAGCTTAACATGTCAGTGAATTAATCCTCTTTCAAATAAAAAACATCCAAGGAGGGAAGGATTAGAAACATTGTTATTTATTTTGCAGTTCCACTTATTTCTCAAACACTCTAGAAGATTAGGTTTTATTTTTGGAGAGAGCTTGCTGGTGGCTAAGACAACAACAAAGGCCACAGTAAAAACTGTCGCAAAGGAGATCCCTGATGTAACTTGTAACTGTAAAGTGGATTTTATACATTAGTCCCAAGTCTGCACTCTGCAGAAAAGAGCTGCCATTTAAGACACATCGTCGGTTTTATAGAAGTACATTGCACCAAAATCACTAATATAATGAAACATTACTTTAGTTTTACCCTTACCTGTATGTTTTAAGTGCCTCAGTGTCACATTATCAACAGGGAAAAAGCTCAGAATAGCACCATATTCAGGACACATATTTGCTATTGTGGTTCGGTCTGCTACAGACAGCTGGGAAACTCCACTCCCAAAGAACTCGACAAACTTTCCAGCAACATCAGCTTGCCTAAGTTGCTGTTTAAAAGAAGAAGAAAATAACATCTGAAATGTAAAGAGGTACAATGTGTTTCCTGCAGCTTTCAGTTATGAATGCTTAGGATGAAAAGTTGGAGCCATAAGGCACATTTTGGAAAGGAGAAAAACAAAACAAACAAAATACTCCACCAAAATTTGAGTTTTGGAAGTTGACATAAGGAACACTGCTACCTGTAGCTTAGTTCTTCAGTTCCCACTCAGGAACAGAGAGATACTTGTTAGAGCATGTCAGAAAGAACTAGAAAAATATATGTTCAAAGCAATCAAAGCCTTTAAATGCTTTGACACTAGCTCTTCACCTACTGACTTAGAGATAGCTTGTGCTGCTTGGTGGYGAAACCTTGGCTTCAGAAAAGATATTCTACTAGATTCCACTAGTCATGCAAATGCATAACCATAGCCAGACCAAGGGTTTTCACAGGATATTTTTTTAGGGAGAAAAGGATCTAGAACAAGTTCTAAGACTACAGAAAAAACCTACAGGGCGCCAACTGGTTTGAGAAGGGAGAAAACACAGGACAGGAAAGTTCTTTTTAGATAAGCAAAGAGACTATAAATACACCATTGCAGTAGTAAAATCCCTTAGAAGACCTTTAATTAGAAAGGATTTAGAGCTTATTAATATCTTTCTGTACAACTACAGTTAAAGGTATACCATGGATGCTCTCAGCATTCAGTTCAGTTCTCAACCACCCCTGTTAAAACTTGTACCCAAACCACAAAGCTAGTGCTGCCTGCACAGGCTCCTACCTTGGTGATGCTCAGGACGATGTCTATGGACGTAGCGAGCGGGCTGGCCGTGCCGGTCAGCTCACAGCCGACGACCTCGGGCAACGGGAGCGTAACCGGCATCCCCAGCATCACCGCTTCTGTTTCGATGCCCCCAACACCTGAGGGAGAATATTCATTTTYTGTCATCAGTTTAAGTATCTGAGACTAAATATTTGGACAAATTAAAACCTAACAATTTTTTCTTATTGAACTTAAAAGCAGATGTTCACCTTTAAATATATGTATTTGGAAAATAAAATTAAGAGTACCACCAATACAGTTACTCTTCAAACTTAACCTTAAAGCGCTTTATCTAGCATTGACTTTACACAGAAAAAGAAATCAATGTGAATTTTACACAACACGTACAATCAGTACCCACATAAATATGAATTACTTTTTGGTTGTTTTATTTTTCAATTGTAAAAAGTTTCTCAGTGGTGAGAAGTGTTAGTTGAGGACACATTTAGAGGAAATACCAAACACTGTGAAGGGTAACTCGTGACAGAATTGGTTATACTTCAGATAGAAAGTATTTCTCAACAGTATGTTAACATGTTTTTCAAAGTGTTAACAAGCTGCAAGCAACATACGTACCCCAGCCCAAGATACCGAAGCCGTTAACCATGGTCATATGCGAATCTGTGCCAACCACACTATCAGGATATAGGAAATCTTTAACTTCAAAAACAACTCTTGACAAATACTCCAAGTTAACTTGGTGCGCCATTCCAGTTTCAGGCGGAATTATAGAAATATTCTTGAAAACTTTCGAACTCCACTGTATTTTTTTTCCAAAAGAAGAAAAAAACAAGTTAGATTTTCTCAAAGGTGTATTTTTTTTAAAGAACATAACAAGAATGACAGACCCAATATGCAATACAACAGTATGTGTTATTTAAGTGGATTTTGCTCATTTATGAAACAGAACTACATGCTACACCCGGATTCTATGCATGCTTGATCATTAACAAAACCTTTTGCTCAATTCCTGCTGAAGGCTGAATCAATAATTCACACCCACCTTTCAAAAGCAGATCTGCACAAATACGTTACCTCCCAATTCTAACTGACTTATATTCAAGGAACAATTAAAATCAGTATATAGAAAACAGAGACCCATAAGCATACATAGCAAAATTCACTACACATTTTACATGTCTGGATGAGGCTGAAGGTGCAATTTACAGAAGTGTCTTGCCTAATGCAAACTCAAATGATAGATTTGAGAAAAATTGATGTGAAAATGGGGAACAAAAGATTTATTTTAGCAGCTTCTCCTCTTGAATAATGTAAGAACTGACAGAAAACTTACAGAAAGATCTCCTAGTCTACCTATACACAGATATTTGGTTTATTGCACTGCATTCCTGAACTGCTACATCTGTGGATCAGGATCAGATACCAGTGTATCTGGCCAGCAAAGAAACTGATGTCTTCCACACAAGACTTGCATTAAAAATAACTCTGCTTGCTCTGTTGCCTAGTTTGAGAGCAGCAGTTTCTTAACACCAGCTTCTGTTCAACACTAACTTCAGTAAGATTTGAAAAATTCTAAGCAGACCTTTTATCCAGAAGCTTACCAAAAGACCTCTTAAGTACTAATGCTTCCTAGGGATCTGGTTTATCCACTGGTCTTTAAGCGTTACAAGTTATTCTCTCCCCCTTTGGCAGCATTAGAGGGTTAGCTTGCCTAATAATACTATAATTTGAACCCAAATCTATGTTATTAGTCAATTTTCCGCTCATATAGAAATTCAGATTTGAAAGCTAGACATTGCCAGAAAAAAATACATTTAGATATGAACACTGCCAGACAAACAGACCATAAATATTAAAGAACAAAGTCCACAGGTAGACAGACATACCTTAAAAAACTGAAGCCTCTCTCTATTTCGGCCAAATTCCATCTCTTGATTTTTCAGTACTGTCTCAGGCCTAATAAGAGACCAAGTTTACAAACACTGTCAAAATTCATTTCAGATCACAAAAGAATAAGCTAATTTTGTTTGCTTTTGATGAAAGACTCATTTAATCCTATCATGTGCTATATGTGATGTTAGTTCTTGTTAAAACAAACATAATTCCTTCCATGCAAGAAGCTTWCTCTAAACAGTGGAAAAAGAACTGATTTTGCCCAGGCTATGCTTGGTGAACAGGTTTATTCTAGGCAGATTACCTAAAGCAAATCATCTCAAATATACCCACAACAGAACTGCTCCCATCGTGTACTACAGAGGTACCAAGACAGTTAGTAACAACTACTGCAGCAGACTGATTTGATCAGTCTTTAAATTCAAACACATCAGGAAGAGCAAGACAGGAATCTAGACAGCTGGTCAGAGCAGAGAAGGGGCAGCTAAAAGGGACAGGTGCTTCCAAGGAATTGTCAAAGGGTGAGCAGTACAAAATGATCATTCATAGTATGGAAAATGTGGAGTGAGCAAACAGAGGMGGTGCCTCTGTGCCATCACACGCACAGCCAGGGTAGGGTGTTCAGAGAATTTCAACTCAAGGATAGGGGGACTGAGACAATACTTGGACCCTGGGGACTATGCAAAGGCTGTTGCCTAGTTCATCTGGAAAAGCTGGAAATTTCTGCAAAGCTCCCACGTGAAGACTAACATTTAATTTTKACTGAAGTTTACTCAGTAATTTACAAAAGACTACTCTTGTGGTTTGTTGTCCATGTAAGGAAGGGAGAGAAGTCTCCAAATTCAATCTGAAATGCCAGCCATCGGTCAGATAAATGAGTATGTGCAYTGTGTTTACTAAAATCCTTCTTGTCAACAAATATATTTAGTTTCGACTAATTCAAGTCTACTGCAAACATCTTTCYAGATGCTAAAATCTGTCTCCCATGTATGTGAAGTACAGAGGGATATTTAGAGGACCCACATCTCTAAGCTGCCACAGGTAGTGCTTAACACCAGAAAAGGGAGCAAATAACTGATAAAAAGTGAAACTTTCATACTCAGGCACTGGCTGAAGATGGAAAGGACACAGGATCGGCGTGTTCTCAATCTGTGCAGAAAACTGTCCCGCGCTGCGACTCGCCTCCGCAGCGCTGCACGGCCCCTTGCAGCCTGTCTGCCCCCTGCAAGGTAACTTCCGAGGCTGTACTTTAAGTGGAGAAAGTTTTGCTGCTGCCTTCTGGGAATCACCACCCCCAGGATTTGGGGCATTCTGTATTGCACTGTAACAGTGAAGAGAAGAATAAGTTAGAAGCCAGGTTTATGTCTGAATGCCTTTAGTGGACTATTAAATGCTACCTAAAAAAACATTTATTACAACCCTGAAGCAAAGTAAACTGGATATGCTTAATTGACTCGTGTATTATAGAAATCTAAGATATTTAAATCAATTGCATTGAATTGCTTAAGAGGCTAAAATGACAAACATCTCCTTCAATTTGCACACAACAGACTGGAGTTCTTTACAAGCAATAYTGCTCGGGCTGAACTCAGGGTTTTAACTGTGAAGATGTAGAAAGGGCCTCCTCCAAGTGACAGACTGGCTGAACAGTTTCTCCTTACTTGTTAAGGCAGCATTGCATGTGTTTTGTTCAAAACATGGAGGAACAACTACAAAGGAAACTGCCTCAAGAAAGAAGCACAACTCTGACCATTAATTAGGCTTTTGATAAAATTCTTCAAGACTCGGGTAAAATATACATGCTATTCAAATCACAAAGGCATACAATACAGAAGAAAGCTTTTTAAAGTGCATACAACACACTACCCTTTCTGCTATATTTGGTCTTCTCAGGGGAAGAAATCAAGCTTGCTGTGAAAACGAGATTTCTAACTTCTTAATAGCACCAGAATATTGTTTTGTCATTAAATGAATTTCTTTTTACTACAGCAGGAAAAAAACACRATAGTTGTACGATTGCAGGATACTGCAAAGGTTCAGAGGATACCTTGCCTAACTACAAATTCAGTCTGTGAGTCTCTGAGCAGCAGGAGATGGAAGTGATCTAAGGGCAGCACAAACCATGTGTAGTGAAGGTGTTTTTATCATATGCCAGCAGCTGCTGAGATGCTCTAAGCTTTCCAAATGCACAGCCACAGGAACTGGATTTATCATTTAAAAGCAGCAGTTCAGACCTCCTGCCAGCAGTTGGTCTTTCTGATAATATTAGGCAGCCTAATTGCAATTGAATCAGCTGCCCTTTCAACCACAAGAATGAGCTGTTCACAGAACTGAAGCAACACAGATCAACTCAATKAATTTAGATCTTACTTTTCATTCTCCTAAGTTACTAACAAAACTGAATTTATGTACTTGGAGGGTTTACAGAAATAGAAATCATACCCATACCTGTTTTACCACAAGCTTCTCTTAACTCAAACTCCCAAAGAATTCAAACCATTTACATAATTCCACTCCATTTTGGAAGTCTCTATGGTGTTCAAGTGGGGGGAAGAGCTGTACTATTAGTATAGTTAGGCAAACATTGAATAAAAATGCAATTTTTTCCTCTCCTGCAGGGTGCTGTGCGTTTCTGGCACAAGACAACCCCAGCCTGGTTTCGCCACCCCACTGCCTCTCTAGAAGGAGAACTAGGCTGTCAGTTTTCCAACTCTTAGCACTTCCAGGTTCCTCAAGCAGACTTCCCTCTCCACATATYTTCAGTGGCAAAATCCAGCCCTACACCAGATCACAGCCATAGCCAGGGCTGAAATTTCAATCTTTTTGCAAGTCCGACAGGATTACAAACTACTTCTCCAGCGTGCTGACAAAGCAGTTATATTTACAATTAAAATTTAACATTACCAGTAAAAATAGGGCAAGGCAAAATTAAAATCCAGATACCTCTGCCTCATTCTCTTAAGACAGACTCTTTCCTGGAAACCATGCCAAATCTAGTTATTTCAAGAGCCTTTGCACAGAACCTGTGTTGTCAGTCAACTTGATTCATACACCACTCTTCAAGAGGGGTGTTTTTATCCAGAAGAGTTCTTTGAAGCACACATTCACTTACAGTGTGCAACTCCTTTTCCAGACTGGTGTACTGACTGCATAGAGAGGTTAAGAGAAACCTCAGACCATTAGATCTAGTTTCAGGCACCCACCAACGGCAAAGGATTTACAGAGCATGTACTAAGGCTGGACTCGATTCAAACTTGAGAATCAAACTCCTTGCATCAGACAAAAACGTACAGCTTATCAAATACAAGGTACGTCACCATTTGCTGAAATCAATCTGCAGAGAATGGTCAACAGTGAGATCTGCTGGGCAGGCAGGATTGACTTTCATCGGATCTCCTCCAGCATTTCGCACTGCTTCCCGCATGGCGGCAAAATCCACCATGGCAGGAATTCCACTAATAGGGGAAAAAAAACAGTAAAATACCATAAGACATTAACTCAACAGATTTTAACTCGACAACTAAGGCATTCCAGATAAAGTCCTAATATTTTATTCACTAAATTTTAAAGCACTTGAAATATATATTAAATTGGTAGCATTCATAACAGGCAAGAGCATGCTCCAAGGTAACAGACCAAACAAAATACAGGAGCACCCTAAAGAACAGAAWCACACTGTTCTTTCACCTTGCTTTGTTCTTGATGTGTGACAGTACTTTATAATAACACTCATTTCTCAATACTTATTACTTTATAACACAAAATTGCTATGTGAACAAATACTTGTACTATATATATTAATATTTGCATTATACTATGACTTTTCTTACAGAACCAGTCATTTCTGCAGCACAAATAGTATATAAAATTTTCCTGATTCTGCTTGCAGAAGTTATTATATGTAATATCATTACTTCTAATTCCTATTCCAATTACTTCTAATTCCTATTTTACTTCCCCAGTTTCTTGATAAACATACAGTTAATGAGTCAGCAAAACATCCTGTATTTAAGGACTGCAAKCTGCTGAAGGTTTGTCCTATTGCTACTTCATATTCAAATCGCACATAAAAAGGTTCCTGGACTTAAAAAAGTGCATTATTCATGGTTTGAATGGCATTTCACATACTTGTGCAATAAGCAATATTTAATCTTCAGTTATCTCAAGTAAGAACTCTGTATATTTCAATGAGCCGCCAGCCGTTTGGCTACAGTCAAAATGTCATCTCTTCCATTTGTGCTTTGGCTCTTATCCTGTAAAACATTCCTTGCAGGCTGACACTTTCAGCTTATCAACCTGCACTAAAACCAGGGCAACTCTGCGAAGCAGCTCCTATTCTTGCAGCACGTGCAAGTATCACAATACRTTTACTGGACAGCAGAAGCAGTGCACGAGTTGATATAGAACACAAGATACTTCAGAATCAAAAGGCCAAGTCCTATTTATTCTCGAGCCAAAGTATCATTCATATYGCTCAGGGAGTTTACACAGATGATGTCAGAGGTTTTGGCAGACACACACGCACACACCACTTACGTAAAATCTTGAAGAACAACTCTGGCAGGACAGAAGGGCACTTCAACATTATTCTGCTTTGTTTTCCAGTCCAAAATGTTCATAGCATCTGTTTCTTTCACTAAGAAGCCATCACAGTTACGGACGCTGGATTCAAACAACACTCGTATGGAATAAGGCAGAGTATCTAGGGCAAGACAAARCAACTGGCTTAATTAGTGCAACACCTTCAGTTTACACACTTTTTTTTTTTTTTTTTAAATAGTTTCACATTTCTCAAGAGTTCTACTCCAGCAATTTTCAGCAAACTCAAATCTATCTGTATGGGTACAATTTAGTCATAAACAGCACAAATGAAGTGCAGGGGTGAAGAGTAAACAAATGCMAACTAGGGATAGAAAGCAGGAGAGCTACAGGAGCCTGCCTGGCTGGTTGCTTCTGCTTTTGGTCTTTATTACAGAGGAGGGAAGGGTGAGCTGCACAACGCACACCTTGTGGAAGATGAATTTTTACATGAAGTGTGGGTGGAAGAAGCCAATGGCCTCACTGTGTCCCGTCAAGACATTGACATTTAAGAAGGCACGCTGTGCTGGCAGGACCAAGAGGCCAGGAATCCTGAGCTGGGGGTCCTGACCACGTGGAATAAGGGAGAGACAATAACAATTAGTATCTGCTAGAAGTCTTCACACTGCAAACCTTACTGTGCCATTACTTGACATTAAACCAGAGGCAGTTACTACCAGAATTTCTTTTACTTTCATACAAACAGTGACATGAAGAACAAGAATAAATTTTCACATGTGCTCTAAACTTAAAATATATTTCATAAAATATAAACAAGAGCAGCATTTAATTAAATGCAACTCCAGTTACTTTGTTACTGATCTGGGTTAAAGTTCAGACTAGAAAGAGCTTTCACAGATGGAAAAGTTTAGGGAACTAGAAACACTGAAACAAAAGAGGGAAGAGAAAAAAGAGCAAGTCATTATTGACTCTAAATAAAAATGAAGATTAATTCACATCCTCCCCAATTATCATAATCATTGAATATATATCACTTCCACTGAAGTGGATTACAATAACAGATTATTACAATAACAGAAATGTTAGCTAGATGAAAAATTTTAAACAATTATGCAACTTTGTTTTGGGGAGAGGGAAAAAAAGAACAAAGAAAAAAATTAAAGATTTGCTAGTCTTAATCCAGCCCATAAGTCTGTCAGCGAGCTACTAATGGAGAACTTTCTGGACTGTTCTCATTAGGCATTTTTGTCACATATTATTTACTACTGTCTAATTAGGTAAGTCATTCAAAATTTTGAAGCATCATTAAAAAGGTTTCCAAATCTGCTGTAATGCCACAACTCACTTTAGTTAGCATCTAAATTGTCAGCAAAAAAAGAAACCCAAAATAAAACAAAAGAAAACCCCACMGATTTGCTTGTTCTTGGATTAGCAGTAGCACAGCAGAGCACTCCTCCAATGATGTTCTAAAAACAAATGCAGGCAGCAATTCCAGATGCTGGATTTCTTACAAATGTTGTCCTACACAGTGTTTTAATTTAATTTCAAATTAATATCTTGCTAATATGTGGACAATGAGGCTACAAACTTTTGTATAGATGTTTTGCTGGAAGAGACTCCTAGTCTATTCCGTTTTCATATTCCTTCTTTGATATCTCTAGCAATTTCTGCTGCTGCTATAGAATACTGCATTTCATTTAAACTGTTTCAGTTTCTACAACATTTCTACATTAGCAAAGCCTCCAAAAGCAGCAGAAGTACTGACTGGTTTTGTTCCTGCCATTCTGCTGCTTCTCACTGGACAAAGCTGCAAAGAGAAGTTTCTTTTACCTCCAACTAATCTTCCTATTCAAAATGTTAACTTTGTTGCTACAAAAAGTAAAAATTTGCAGCTGCTGCACAAAGTTTGCAGCAGCCACTGCTCCAGGGGAAAGGGCTCCCCTCTCTCTTCCCTTCAAACAATGGGGAAGTAATTGCTGTGGTCAAGTAGCCTTTACAGCAACATACCCATGGCTAATTCTTTAGTTAATAAATGTATCATGAATCTTGTAAATACAGGAGACTAACACAGACCTTACCAAGCAAGACAACTGAAAAAAAAAAATGCTGAAATATTTTTAGCATGCACCTTAGGGAGGAAAATAAGTATGCTTTGATTGACTGCAAGGGGAAAGCCTATTCCAAGTGACACCAATCTAGAGGTAACCTCCATCCACATGCCTTTCCCTCTCTCATCTCACATATATTAATTCTTTTAAAAGGTATTCAGAGATGGAGACCCAATAAATATCTATCACCTAYCCCTAGTGATATATTACATACAAATGATACACAGAGATTAAGTATTTGTCTGTATACCACAAAAAAATCACTTTTTCGCAGCAGTTGCAATAGAAGTTATGTCCCAGCAGTTATCCACTATGTGGAGTTACAAAAAAAAGATGAATCTTGGATACCAAGAATCAGCAAAAATAATTACAGTAAAAAAAAAATTACTTTTTACTTTTAAAAGTATCATTTAGCAGTTTTCTGCGAGTTCATTGTCTCCCAAAGAGATGACCCCGCGCCTAGCAGTCCAGTAACATCTCCCATAATCCCATCCCAACTGAAAAAAACTACAAGAAATATTTTCACCCCAACCCTCCAACTGAAGTTGATATCTTTCAACTTCAACAATCATAGACTGGAAAATCATGTGCTTTCAAGGATACCTACTAAAAATTCAYGTACTCACAACAGGACTCCTGAATATTTTTAAGGAGCAAGAGGTACAAATTTGCTAATTGTGCTATGCTAATTAGCAGCTGTTAAGTTTTGTTACCATATTTGGTGCCTCCAAGCTTCGAGACATTGTAGAATTTCTTTTGTGGATAGTCTCCTAATGCCTCAATCACGGGCTGGTAGGGGATTCCTGCGGGGAGGAAATAAGTCACTGATATAAAAACCAAAACAAACACAGAAGGTTCAAGAACCGATAAAGATCTCGTAAGACCAGATTCTAGTGTCCGCTTTCACCAAAAAGAGCTTTCTTAGAGGACTACAAGTAAATCAAGTATATGCTGGTGTCTGAAAAGATTAAGTGTCCCAAACGACACAGATGTGCCGCTACCAGGGGCTTTAGCGGTACAASAGCAGCCACGTCTGTGTGCACAGCTAGAAGCCTAAACGCGGGTTGGACCCTTCTTGTCCCAGCTCACCACCCCCAGAGCGGGACACACGGGGACTCAGCAGCACAGCGGGAAACACGAGGCACGAGAAAAACGCAGCACCAAACAAAGCGCCAAGGGGAAAGAGCTGTGAGGGCCAAGCGCGGGAGCTGCTGGCGCGGCTCTTTGTGCGCCGCCCGCCTCGGCCTGGGGCCGGTACCAGCACCGGGGGAGCGGGGCGGGCGGCGGTAACGGGCCGGGCCGGGCCGCTCCTCAGCGATGGGGGGGGAAACGGGGATGGGGGAGGAGGAGGCCGCCGCGCTCGGACCCGGCCGCTCCCCGTTGCGCCAGCGCGGCTGGGGACGAGGCCGCGCGCGGGGTCCCGCCGGGCACGCGGGCGGCGCCTCCCCGCGGGCGGAGGGCGGCGGGGGCCGCGGCACTGACCTGGCCTGGCAGGGTCCATCGCCGGCGACCATATTAGCTCCGCCGGGCCGGGGCAGCGGGGCGCGCGGGCGGGGCCGCCGCCAGATCTCGCGAGACGCGCACCCGCCGCTCCGCCCTGGCCGCGGCGGCTCTCGCGAGACCTGCGGAGGCGGGGCGGAAGAGAGCGGAGGGGAAAGCTGTTCGCGCGATACTTCCGCGCCCCTCGACGAACGGCGGGGGCGGAGCCACCCCAAGGCCCCKCGCGAGCCTCGCCGTGGGCGCCGCCTATTGGCCGAGGCCGCGGAGTGCGTGGTGCGCCACGTGACGGGGCGGGGCGACGGCACATTACGGTGTTTGCAGCCGTTATAACCGTTACAACGCTTGTAACCGTTGCCGCTACCCGTTGGAACCGTTACAACCCTTATAACCGTTACCGCCCGGGCAGCGGCCACAGCCAGCCTCGGCCTTGTCACTCTGAATCTATCAGTGATCAAATGACTTCGAGTTGTTTTCCGCCGTTGCCTGAAGGCTGGCTTTGATCAGCCAGATACGCCCGGGGAAAGGAATTTTAGGCAGTATTTTTTTGTACGCATGATAAATCTCTTTTCACGTTTCATTTTCGGCACCTTTCTTTCACTTTAGACTTTTGTAAAGCAAATCCTGTATTGATCTTTGGTTTTAACACAATGTTTGGCTATTTGGCTTTTTGATRCTAATTTACACTGGAAATTCTCTAATTACTTAGTTGTAGCTGTTTATCTCACTGTCCTTCCCACTACTTTTTGTGATTTTTTTTTTTTGAAAGATACAATAAAATCGTTGAGTCCTTTAAGGTATTGTGTCACCACCTCAGAAGAAACATGTTTTTGCTGTTTGCAGAATGCTGCCTGTGTTTCCCAGTTGAAGTCCAACATCCTCAAAGAAGTTGAATTGAAGGGGGGCTTTCCTAGAAGACAGGCAGGGGTAGGTGCAGTTGGTTTGTAATCAGTGATGACAGAAGCAGGCTAATTGCATGTGCCTTGGGGAAGAAGAGACTGCAAATGGTRTGAAGTTGTTTGTGCTCCTTCTGCAAAAGGCAGTTGCTGTGCACAGAGAATTTCTGTATTGTTCACTGTACATCTGCCTTCAAATGTAGAAAGCTGGGAAAAGACTGGGCTAAATAATGCTGTTCCAGAACAGGACGAGCTAAAAGAGAACTCAATATAACCCAAGAATGCTTTTCTAGTTGCCCTTTCTTTTGTCTTCTCCCCAATTCTATATTCTGAAAGACAGCAGAGGGAGCACCCCCACCATTCACATACATTCCTCCGCAGGGGGGTCAGGTTGGTCTTAAGGCCTTTGAATTGAATCTCTTTAATCCTGGCTACACACAGACTTCCATGGGACAGCTGTATGTGGAACTCTAATTTATACAGTTCTCCTGTCTAAGGAAGCAAGAGATCTTTGAGGGCAGTAAAGTTTAATTCTTGCTTAGATTTATTTATTTTTTTWATGAGTGATTTGGGAGATTCATAAAGATTTGGGAAATGGCTGTAGAATATTTATTTAAGAAGTTAAGGTCAGTCCAATTCTAGCAACAGTCTAAGATGCATGAATGAATCTACAGAGACAGGTAGGACAAGTAATAATCTCTGCATGGGCTATGTCAAAGATGTAGCTTGGGGCAGCTAATTAAAAAGAACACAAAGTAGATTTGATGTTGGTATGTTCTTAGCAACAAAGTGAAAGAAAGTGTTTGTAAAATGAACGTTGGACAATTTGTAAGGAAAAAAAGCCTTTTTTTTTTCATTTCTAGTGCCACTGCAGAAAAACTACTGGTGTTAGGTGAGCTGCAAATTAATTAAAATACATAAATAGGTTGAGTATTTCGATTAAAATACAACCAAATAAATTGTTTCCAGACTGCATGCTTTGATGCATAGCACAAGCTTAGCCTCTAAGCCAGCTAATTAATGAGACTTTTTGGCTGATTTTTGTAACATGTACTCAGTGCCACTGTGTATTAAGCTTCTGTTTCAATTATATATCTTTTGTTATCATTACACAAAATACCAAATATCAAAAAAGTAGATTAATAAATGCCAGAGGGGGGGAAAAAGCAGGGGAAGGAAATGCATCCGGCTCTCTCAGGCCATTAACACCAACTGCATGGCAGTGTCACAGAAGGGTCCTCATCCCTGCAGAGCCCTCCCTGAGCAGTACYGTTCCTGGGCTTTCTCATCCTCTTGGACGTTAATTACGTCAGGCTGATGTTTACTACATGATTCAGTGATAGCAACTCAGCTCACYGTGATAATTTTCCCCTTCAGGAAGTCAAAGTTTTGTTTAAATCTCTTCCGAGAGCTGCCTTTTGCACAGATGTAGGCAACTCCAAAGCCCCTCTAAAAGCTCTTCCCTGAGCATTCAGCAGGCTCTTAGTAAATCAAATGATAACAGTGTCTTATAAATATCTGCAGACAGCAGTTGAACTGTTCTAAAGTTCAAACTGGGTATACAGAGAGGTTCAAGTATCACAGAAACCACTTTTCAAAACTGCATTCTAGGACCCCTTTTAGTTTTCCTCCAGTGAAGAAGAGAGGCTCTGAGGTGTTTAAGATGATTTTCACTTGTGGGGGAAGTGCTGGCATATGGAATCCTGCCCAAATTGCTTCAGGGAGAACAGCCTTGCTGTGAAGAGTTTATTAGTACCAGAGGAAGAGGAGATTCAGTAGAGTAAACATACTTACTTGCAAATACATCATGCCATAAGAGAATGGCTGGTGAACTCTTAATATTCTGAAAACAGGCCTCTATTTTCAGGTTATAAACATGTTAGTTCTGCTCTGTTGTTAAGGAGCCTGAAAACCACCTTTCCTTCTTACTCCAAGTGTAGGCAGAGTTTTCCCCCAGAGATGCCCAGAAAAAGAAGGGTGATTTTTGCGCTGGCAACTGGATTTTGTCTTGCAAGCATGAGGAAGTGCAACAGGCAACTGGGGAACCTCAAGCCACGCTGTGCAGTGCTTATGGCCGTCTGTGAAATGTCAGCTTTAACGGCTGTGGCGATGACATCTGTTTTGGTTAAGGCTGTGGTTGTTACTGACAGGCCTGTTCTAAATGGAGGGCATCTGTTGCCTTTCTCCTATGCACTGCTGGAAACTGCAGAGGGAAGCACAGCTCAGCTTTCCTACCACGGGAGCTCAGCAAAACCAGACACTATCAGCCAAACTGCCAGCCCTAAACCTGTGGGAATGAGTGTTTTCCCTCTCAGGAAGGCAGAGCTCACCTGCCCCCTGCTCACGTGTGCTCTGGAAAGCAGAATCGCTTTCTCTCCTCACCCACTGCAGAAAAAAAAATGTGCAATTGGCAAGTTCCATCCCCTGGTTCTCCRTCTGGAGGGGAAAGAGCTGTGAGGGCCAAGTGCTGGGCACCTCTTGGGCACGTCCCAGCTGCAGAGAGCTCTGCGCTGGCTGGCAGACGTGACAGCAAAGAACACCCTGCATGCACCCRCAACAGGGAAGCATAGGCTGTTTGGTGAAATGGCAAGAATGACTATAGCTACACCCTTCAGCACCAGATGCTGCAATTCCCTCACGTGCAAGGCAAGTATGGACACTATTAAAGCTTTTAACTGCTGATTGCTATTAAATGCCTCTAAAATGAAAACAGCTCGTGCCCACCTGACAGCCTGCAGTCATTCATGGAAACCTCTCTCCACAGCAGGACAAGCCACTCAAGGCTTCATTTTCTGGTAAGTTGGGACCTGGCTCAAAGCAAGCTGCATTTTCAGCTGAGTCTTAATACTTCATTATCCACACTATGATCCAAAGGACAGAGAAGGATTTAGGGTACATTATTGTACTGAATAAGGAAGGCTTTTGGAAAAATAAAACCTCATTCTTCAAGCTAATGACCCCTGGAAACTGTATCCATCCTCCTTTAGGGAGCAGTAACTGCCTGAGACATAAGCACCACATCTTTTGTCTTAGAAAATGGTCTTTGGGTTGGGACTAGTACAAGTCCCACAGAACTGTGTGTTCGGGGGACCTTGGTGCCATATCATGGGAGGCATAGCAGCAGTGGGAGTAGATGACTTGAGGCTCCCTGTCCAGATGCTAACAGAGGCACTTGCATGGAAAGGGGGAAGCTGCCAGCCCTACAGGGAGAGACCCTCACTCTACAACCTGAAACAGAGTGGATGCCTGAGCCAGCTCATCACCAGCACAGAGCCTGGCTGAAGTTGCACAGGGTGGTGTCCTCAGCCTCCAAAAGGATTCACCCAGTCCTTCTGCGAGGAAGGATGCTGGTTGTGTCTGCTCTGCTGGGCAGCCCCAGGCAGTGGATAGTTYCCCTGGATGCAGCAGAGGTCACCTCGGCCAAGCTAACAAAGAGGAACCGGTCTTGGCCACRCTTTCCTGGATGCCCAGTCCCCCTTCAGGGGACAGCAGGGCAATAAGAATCTGACATCTGCTTCACTCACATTTTCCTCTGTGCATTGTTATTTCTTTTACTCCCACCCACCGCTCCCCATAGCTCTTCTGGGCTGGTATTTGTTGCTGGAAAGTGCAGAGAGGATGTAGGGATTGGGACTACTCCATCCTCCCACAAATATGGGGGGCAGGGAGGAGGAAGAAGAGGAAGAACCAGCATCTGAGCTGAGCAGAGCAGGATGGCAGCACTTCCAGAAGCAGGACAGCAAGCGCAGGAAGCAGCACTGTCTGGAAGTGCTCTTGAAACCAGTTGGAAAACAGCTGTGCTGATTTTAATCCAACAGGACTGAAGCATCTCCAGAAGAGCCATAAGGCCCTTTGATACCTCCTCTTCAAGCAATAAAACGTTAATCTCAGTTGAAAGTCTCTGTTCCCTTAGTAGTGGTATTTTTCTGTTTAGAGGTAATACACTGTTGCCTGCAAGCAGAGGCCCTGCGGCAACGCCAGCCGTGCCTGCGCAGCGGAGACAGCTCTTGGCAATGGAGACACCAGAGAGCAGCRAGTGCCAGGGCTGCAGGAACAGCAGCCACAGCCCTTTGCTACACAACCACTGCCCTGGGGGTTACAGGCCTCCTGGCACAGATGCTCTTCCCCCCCCCC